TGATAAACTACCAATCTTAGCTTAACTGATAATCTTGAAGTTCAATAGTTGGACACCTTGATTCATATAATTCGGAACTTCTCTCACCTCCACTTATGTTTTATATTTTATGCACATAAATTGTCTTTCCTGTGGTTGGTGAAGTTCTACAAGTCCATTTTGTACTATTCTGCTTTGTCGATCCCCTTAGAAATTACATCTTAAAATAAATTATTGTCTATATTTCTAATGATTTTTTCCGTAGTTTTAGACGCATGCATATTATTATTCCTGCAACATGACCTGATTTGTTTCTGAAATGAATGCATATTAGCGTGCTGTATTATAGAGAATCTAACATGTGAAACTTTTCCGGTTGATGCAGAGCAAACTTTAAAAAAGAATCAAGCTCAAGAAGTAAGATTCTTTGCACGTTTAATCTAACTCTTGAGTAAAATTTTATTATCGCACATTTAGTACTGCATCATGACTGAGTTCTTTTAATACTTTTTTAGAAAAGAATGACCTTGAGCTTATCATTTGCAATTGCTAATTTATAATGTCATGCAAATTTTAACATAATTTTGTTAGCTGACTTTGTAATTTAATTATATACTTGCTACTTCATTTCCATTTTCAGGAGTAGTGAGAATGTCTTATTTTCCACTCTCCTTTTCTTTTATCGTTTATCTTCTTTATCTTTTCATATTCTTATGTTATTTTTATCTTCTAGCTTTTTATGCCCTTTTATCTTTTTTTTTTTTCTTTTATCTTTCTTATGTTCTTATGGTATTGTTATCTTATATTTATCTTTAGCTTATCTGTTTTATCTTACTTTAATTTTTATTTTATTTTTTCTCTTTTTCTTTTTTTATTCTTGTTTGTCTTCTTTTTTGGCACTGATATCATGGTTCGATTCATGTTATCCGACCCCAATATCTTTTGGGATTAAGGCTTGGATGTTGTTGTTGTGTTGTTTTGTGAATCTCAGAAACTAAGCAGCGAGAAAATTACAACTTCTCAAAGAACTGAAATTAATGAGCCTCATAAAGATCCCTCTGAAATATCAAGCGCTGAAAATTTTGCACCTGGTAATGGATCTATTGACTTTGCTAAACTTCCATCCCTCTCTGATGCGCCAAAGGTTAGTCTGTGTTTTTTTTACTGAATTCAATTTTACTGCCTTTGGTTCATGGTGAATAAAATGCCTTTCTTAAAAAATGCCTTTCTTAAAGATTTTGCTGGAGGCTTATAATGTAATTAATGATGTGTGATCTGCCGCATAGCCTCCTAACACTACATATTAGGATAGAAGTATGTGTGCCAAATGGTATCCTCTTTATTGTAGGAAGGTGATGTGATTGCATACCGTCTACTTGAGGTATCATCCAATTGGACTGCTGAGCTTTCCCCATACCATGTATGTCATCGCAATTGTATACTTTTGTATTTTGGTCACAGGCGATCTGTTTTGACATATTACCTTTTTACTTAAGGTTGGCAAAGTATTATCATTCAATTTTAAATCAAGTAGAGCTTCATTAATGCCTGTTGCTGGATATCCATTCTATTATCCTAAAAATAAGCCTGGTGAAGATGAGTGCACAATGAAATTGGATAGTTCTCTTTATAGAGAGGATGGATCATTGGAGGTAATAGCCCATCCATATTTTAGGGGGGGGGGGGGAACTCTTATTTTCGTGTAGCAACTGCTATAATAACACTGTTATGCAGATAGATTTGTCATCCCTCGTTGATGTCCGGGCTGTAAAACCTCCTACCCTGCTTCTCCCTTTAAAAGTAGATTCAATTGGTAACAACAATGACAAGTCAAGACCTTCTGGTCAAGGTAACTAGCTTCTTCTTCTTTTCAAATCAAAGTGAAATACATATGAAATTTAATGCTAGCTGCACATTGTCGTTATATTCTGCACTGAAATTATAATTTATTGTGTTTTACAGAAAATAGGGACATAGTAAATCATGAAAACAATATGTGTGGTGGTGGCAGCAGCCGAGGTATTGATTCAAGTCATTATGTTTTTCTTGGTCATTCGTTGCCTATGATGAAGATGGTGTTATACTGTCATTCATATTTCATATATAATAATAAAACCTAGTCTGTGTGGCAAATACTAGGAAAGCTGGAAAGGGAAAGAAAATGTTTAAAAAGGAAAACCACTTTCTTATCTTTAGGTTTATAATTATTTGTGTAAGATTAAAAATTTATGCATTTAGATTTGTATTATATGAAAAAAATAAATAAATAAAAATGAGCGCAAACAAGCATTTAAAATAAGTACTACGTATATTATATTTGAAACAAAATTTTATTTTCCTCGAGTTTTTCTTTCCATCAAATATCTCCTATATTTTCATATCCATTCGGTTTTTTTACAAGAATATTACTAGAATAAAACTTAATTACATAAATATGACTATTCATTACTACAACGTAGTGTTGTGGTAACTTACGTTCAAAATTTGAACATGAATTACTATGATTTCATTACTACTCTAGTAACTAGTCATATTTTTGTAAATCATTTTTATTTTGGTCATATTTATGTAATTATTTCTATCCATTTTGTTTCCAAACAAACTCCTAATAATGTGGTACTGTGGTATATTTCCATCTGTAGAAAGTAGAGAGGACTTGTGGGAGCAACTCAGCGTTGCTTTATCTGCAAAGAAAGAACAGCTTTCACAGCAAAGTAGCAGTTGGGGTAAGGTTATTCCAAGCAAGAGTAGTTGGTCATACGAAGCTTGTGGGTTACAGCCTCGAAAGGGCTTCTCCAGATGGAAAAAACAAGAGATGATCAGATGAGTAAGGGAGCACCATGTGAGACCTGTATGATGGAAATGGTGATGAGGATGAATCATTTTCATATTATATATTTGGTACGTCTTTTATCTATTGCAGTCTAAAGACATGAAGCGAATTTGCTTGCCTGACTCGTGAAACAGATAACATAACCTAAGCATCGGCTGGGTTAGACCCAATATTTTCACCTGTAAATTGCCCATTCACATTCTATGCAGTAAGATAACTTGTCTCAGAAAATGAAATCAATCTTGTCCACTCCCAACTTTATGAAATTTTAAGTGGTTCCATACATCCATGCAAAGATAAATAATGAGTAACACATTTAGCATTAATAATCTTAGAACAAGCACATGCATCACAAGTGTTTATCACTATAGTTCCGTCTTTGGTTGATGTGCTATCAAATTTTTCGTTGCATTGCTTAGGCATTCCGCGTTTGTTTGAACCGCACAAATTTCAAGTTTTAACTAGCACAACATATCATCCTGATAAGAGATTATTAACATTTCTTGTTGAGCCATATAATTTTCCTCATGTGTGTCATTACTTTAGAATACAGTAGTTACATCCATTTGATGTACTATAAGATAATGAATGGTGTCCAAGGCCATTAACGTTTCTATTGGTTGCTATTTTGTTCTGATGTGAATAAATATCAAAACCAATACTCGTCTTTTAAATAAACTTTCATTTCATAGCCTCACTTCTTATCTTATTATTAAATAAAAGAGATCCATTTAGAACTATTTGGATTCCTACCTTAGGACATTCACAATGGCAGTCAAGTTTCATTTTTTGGAACATAACTTGATATTTGCCTAGTATGAGGTTCTCTTTATGTTCTTAATTTTGACACTCGTTCTAGAACTTTGTTCATACCACCCATTAAAGTAAAATAAATGAAACTAAAAAACTATAAGGCGAGACACATTGCGTAATTTGAACATCATTATTGTGAAATAAAGTATAAATAATGTGACAAGTATGAAATAAGAACTTGACACCATTAATGTGGATGATCCTTGTAGTGTTGAATTCCCTTTGAACAGTTTCCTTCCATGCATATATGTGCCTCATAACCTCTAGATAACCTTTTGGGTGTTCAATTAGGTACATAAATGTGAATGACGTCACAAAGATCATATTTATATAACGTTTTAACATTTGCATTATTTGTGAAGTGTGAGGGTGTTCCAATTTGTCACAAAAACTTGCATATGTGTGTCCTGTTATTGTAAGAAAAAGAAAAGCATCATATCCGCATGATGTTCCAAGCACGCACGCATATTGTAGATAGTAGATATCCAGGTACTGCTACCTCCACACCATGAAATGATGCTCCATCCTTCACCAATGGAAAAAGGTATGAAGAGGCATGGACTGCAATATGGGCAACATTTAGATGTTTCCCAGCCATGCCTATAAATGGGAATGCTACTGATTGCTGAAAACCATCATAAAGAGAGCAACAATACACTTATTGTTACAGAAAGTTTGAGTGACATTGATCCTTCTTTAATTATGAGATAAGGCTCAAATTGGACACTATGGTTTCATCAGAATCTCAAATACACTTGAGTTTCATAATTTAAATGGATACTCACTTATATTGGATAAATATCAAATTGGACACTCACTTATATTGAATTATGAAACTTTAGTGTCCAATATGAGATACACATGAAACCATAATGTCCAATTTGGTTCATTTAATATCTTAGTGTCAAATATGAGATTCTGATAAAAACATAGTGTCCAATTTGAGTATTATCCCTTTGTTCTTGTTATGAATAAAAGATTTTCAATCTTAACATGTCACATACATAATACTAACTCTGTCCCAAAAAATAGTTACAAAGCTTTTTGGGCACATAAATTAGGAGTGTATGATAAAAAAAAATATTTGGACACTCACTTATATTGGATAAATATCAAATTGGACACTCACTTATATTGAATTATGAAACTTTAGTGTCCAATATGAGATATACATGAAATCATAGTGTCCAATTTGGTTCATTTAAAATCTTAGTGTCAAATATGAGATTCTGATAAAACCATAGTGTCCAATTTGAGTATTATCCCTTTGTTCTTGTTATGAATAAAAGATTTTCAATCTTAACCTGTCACATACATAATACTAACTCTGTCCAAAAAAAATAGTTACAAAGCTTTTTGGGCACATAAATTAGGAGTGTGATAAATTTTTTTTTTTTACATTTGCTGTAACGGTGAAAAAGTGACTTGAAATGGTGAAAATTAAATAATAATATATTTTATTAAATTAGTGGAATCAATTCGATCTTCTGGAATTGATAAATTGTTGGCTGAAACAACAAAATTATGGAAAAAAATTAAATTTATAATATATTTTATTAATAGATTAAAGAAAAAATTACACGAAAAATAGTTAAAATGGTCTCCTATAGCAATTTCATCCAATTGAACCCGAAAACTAACTTCATCTTTAATTATTGCAAGTATTAAACAATTATTTTACCAAAAAAGTACGGAGTATTAAACAATCAAAAGTTATATATTTGATAAAAAAGTGATTGATAAATTTGATAAGTTAGAAATATAGTAATTGCTCTAAAAGTTCGTTTGGTGACCCTGTTTTTCGGCTTATCCGGCCGATTTTGTAATAAAATATAATAAAACTTTTTCACCAAACTGGTAACTTTTGATTTCACGCGTTGAATTGTGTAACAATAAGAAAAGGTAAGATTAAAGTTACTTTTCTGACTGTATTGGCTGAAGCCTATATTGCACGGATATGGATACGCCGATACGCCGATATGCCGATACGCAAATACGGGTATGGCGACACGACAACTTCAAAAATTATAGGATACGAGTACGGGGGTATATTTATAAATAACACTCTATCTGTCCCATTTTACCTGTCTTACTATCCGTTTTGGGTTGTCCCAAAATAAGTGTTACCTTTCCCTTTTTGGAAAGAAATATGTAGTTCACAACATTTAACTTTACTATACTCAAATCTCAACCACAACTTTTACCTTTTCAAAGGCTGAAGCTACGGTAGAGAATCATTTTTACTAATTTTTCATATAATCTTATCCTTATTTTATTAGTAAAAATATTTTAAATATAATTTTTAAATAAATCAGCAGAATTAGCCAACACAATCACTTCAGTCAGAATTTCATAAATTTCAACAAAATCAGCCGATTTAGCCAATTTCGATGTACGAACAAGCTCTGAATAAGACTAAAATTTAACCAAAATGCACTAATAGGAACTATATATGTTTTTAATTCTCTAAATAAAAATAAGTTATCCTATTAAATTAGAAAATTCCGTTAATTAGGAATGAACGAATTTTATTTTGGGAAGAAATCTGCACGACTGCACACTTTGTCTTTATTTAAGTCTTATTTAAGAAATTCTCTCTTAAAAATAAGGGTTATTATAGGAGCTCAAAATATGATTGTAGTGTTAATGACTCCAGACGTTTAAAAATGAAATACTACGAAATTGTAAAAAAGGTCAAAATCAAGTATGAGCATGAATGGGAATTATTGACATTTTTTAGTTTTTAATAAAACATTTTATGTTTTAAAACAAAAAAATGAGCAACATGCCGGAAATGAGATTGCAATGAAATGAAGGGTGGGTGATATTTTTTTAATCAAAATGAAAATTAGTTTATTTTTTCAAAATTAGGGTATGCTCGTTTTTTGACCAAAGCGTAGACGCGATGAGTCTTGCTTGACGTACGCATATCACCGTTTACCGAAAACGTCACTTATTTTGAAATGCATGCACATAAAAATGAGGTGGAGAATTGGACAGATGGGTCAAAATAAACTTGTGACAATTGTGGCCTTTTGGGGTGAAATCGAAAACAAAACTTGGGTTTCTATTTCTGGTCTTCCGACAATGCGTATTGCTTGCAGCTGTAGATGGAACTTTCCAAGGTAGCCTTGTCCAGTTGTCCTAAACAAACAAGTGAAGTTTTTCAACAAATCTCACGCAATGACTTTTGTCTCTCATGATTCTCCAATCTGCACTGCCCTTTATTTCGTCTTAGCTCTGCATCTCTCTTTCTGCTAAATCACTTCCCAAATTAGCTCCCCGCATAAATAAAGAAAATAAAACCATCCATGAAGTTTATGAAGCTTGGTTCTGGCCATGATGCTTCTTTCTGCATCATTGGTGCTGCTAGGTAATCCTTATCACCCATTCAGTCCTATCTTTTTTCACAATAAAGTAAGATTTTTTGGTATGAATTTCTTTTATCTACTTGAAATGCAGAACACTGCTCCCTGAAGTTTCAAGTGATCTTACAGTAGAAGTGAATGAAACCATATATTTACTTCACAAGGTAGCAATAGTTTAATTGCATCATGATATTGAATACACAAAATGAGTTTACAGGATAGAATCTGGTGTTAGAACTGATTTTTTTTTGCTGCATAGTATGCTCCATACCTGATCATTTTTCTTTTGAATGAACTTTTTTTTGTGAAACAGTTTCCACTCTTCTCCAAGTGCTTGAGGCTGCACAAACAAGCACGTTCAGATTGGGCAGAAACCTCCGGGCAGGCCAGGCAGCCCCCGACAGTTGAGCTCCCGGATTTTCCAGGCGGACTCGAGGCGTTTGAGCTATGCACAAAATTCTGCTATGGCTACACCATAACTCTCAGCGCCCACAACATTGTTTCCGTCCGATGCGCTGCAGAGTATCTCCAAATGACGGAGGAGATCGAGAGAGGGAATTTGATAAGCAAACTTGACACCTTTTTGAATTCATGCATTTTCCATGGCTGGAAAGACACAATTGTGACATTGCAGAGCACCACCAAGGAGGGAGGGTTGCAAGCATTGTCAGAGGATCTCAGGATCACCTCTCGGTGCATCGACGCCATCGCCTCAAAAGTCAGGGCGGCAAATCCTGGCAAGGCGAACCTCTCCCGGAGCTACTCCATTAGAGGAGGCAGTAACGGGCCAGAGAGCGGAGAAAGGCAAACTAGTAAGACTTGGTGGGGAGAGGATTTGGCTGAATTGGAAGTAGATTTGTATTGGCGGACTATGGTAGCTATCGGCGGCGGGGAGAGAGTTAGGGTTCCGGCTAATGTTATCGGCGACGCTTTGAGGATATACGCATCTCGTTGGCTTCCAAGTTTTGACGATTTTAGGTCAGAGGAGACTTCAACAACTAAATCAACCTACAAGCTTGCAGTTCTGGAGGCAATTGTGAGGCTATTGCCGGAGGAGAAAGGACCGGCGGCGGTTTCCTGTGGCTTTGTGCTGCAATTGCTGAAAGCCGCACATTTCCTCGGAGCATCGAGCTCGTTGAAAGTTGAGATTACGAGAACGGCTGCCGCCCGGTTGGAGGATGCCTGCGTCGGCGATTTACTGGTTCCGGCATCATCAATGGACGACGAGACGATGTATGACATCGACATGGTGATGAACGTACTGGAAGAGTTCATGTGCTCGGAGGGGAAGAGTCCTCCGGTCGCGAGAACAAGGGGAAAAGGCGGGGACGATTCCTCCGAGAGAAGTGGAACCCCGTCTCTGGACATTGTTAATCTGGATGATTTCCAGGACATGAGCGTGTCCTCTTCTTCTTCATCGCCGGCTTCTCACAGCTCGAAGCTGATGAAGGTGGCCAAGCTGTTCGATGTTTATCTGCAGGAGATCTCCAGGGAGGACCCTAATTTGCCTCTTTCCAAGTTCACTACCATAGCTGAATCCATCCCGTATTTTGCTCGAGCAGACCATGACGATCTCTACAAGGCCATTCACATCTATCTCAAGGTACATCACATAACCATAGCTAGGGATTGGCGGTGAATCAAACTAACATAACTATAGTTTAGATTTATACTGCAGTAGAATAATACTCCGTACTCAATAAAGTATAGGAAAATGACATTTCTCCACCATTTTTATACGTCAATCGAATGGTTATGCAGAAACAATTTCAGTTTGTTTTGCGAAGAGAATTGTTTTTTGTGTCGAAACATATTTATAAAATATAAGTTATATAACTAAAGGTATTATGAATGTAGTGTTATAGTCACATTTTTATAAACATCATTTTAATTATAAATTTGAATCCTTTCATTACACATTAGTTTGTTATCTAGAAATTTTGGTCCAAGAGTCCGTTTGATCACACTGAAATCGGCTGAATCGACTGATTCTGCTGAACTTTAGAAAATTCTTGCTAAAGTAGCTGTATTGGCTGAATTTGCTTATTCACAAAAAAATATTTAAAATATATTTTAGTAATAAATAAAGAGAAAATAATATGAAAAAATAGCTAAAATTGTCATCTACAATAACTTCAGCCAATACAACCAGAAAAGTAACTATAACCTTATCTTTTCTTATTATTACACAATTCTGAATTTAAAAGTTAAGTGTTTGGTTTAAGAATTGACTGATAAGCCTGAAAAACTGAAAAACAAGGTAGTCAAACGGGCTCTAAATTGTAAATTTTAATACTCCGTACATAAAAACGGAGATCTCCATAAAAACGCTTATTACTTGAGAGTTGAGACGCGTATTTATATTAAAAAAAAAATTACAACCAGGTTCTAAATTTGTTGATAAATTGTATACATGGAGCCAAAATGCATGTATTGGACAATATAGGGAAATGTTTTGGGGTTGATTTGTATCTTCATATTTGACTCGACTGACTTTGACCTTTTCTTTGACTTTTTTATAAACAGAGTCACCCGGAACTGAACAAGAGCGAAAGGAAACGAATATGCAGTACCCTGGACTGCAGGAAACTGTCAATGGAAGCCTGCATCCACGCAGCCCAGAACGAATTACTCCCATTAAGGGTTGTGGTCCAGGTCCTCTTCTTCGAGCACGCTCGGGCCGCTGCCATGTCCAACGGCCACCTACTGGAGCTGCCCAGCAACCTTAAAGAAACATGCATGATATCCAATGATGCTGATGACCACATTTCAGCCAAAAAGAAACTAAGCTCCCCTGATGATGATCATCATGGCCTGTGGAGTAGGGCTGCGTCCGGGCGTGATCATAATAAAGTGACCCTTAAAATGAAACTGGACGAAGACGACGATGACGAAATCGAGGATCAAATCTTTGCCACGGTTTTAAAGAAATCGTCTTCCAGATGTTTTAAAATTTTCTCACAGAGGTGATCATTAATGGGGTATGTGCAGGTTGGTTTCGGCGTCTATGCCTTGCTTTGGCTGGCTGGCAGGCAGGCAGAGTATGGCCATTTTGAGCCCTCCGATCAAAAATAAAAAATTAGCGGTAGAAAATTAAGGGGTTCATTTTTTCACAAATCTCGGGTTTTAGTTTTAATCGCTTCCGATCCCTCCATACTCTAAGGCAGAGGATCTGAATCCATACAGGTTATTAGAAAATGAGGCCGGGCAAAGTTCATAGTTTTTCCTCTGATCTACGAAATATTATCTGACCGATATGATTATTCGTGTCTTGCAAGAAGTTTTGTTTTGTTTTTTCTAATATTATTGTTAATCTTACCAATATGACTCCCTTCTCACTTAGATATAAATAGATCAGACTTTGATTGTAGCATAATTGTCACTTGATAGTGTATGGATTTATTATATAGAAATTTTAAAGTGTCCACCTAAATAATCTCCTCAAATTTTCTGTTTTTGGTTCTCTCTAAGATTCCCTCCCTCAAAGCATCGCTCTTGCAATTGCGGCGTCCAACTCTCTAGCTTTGTGGCTTCCATAATTTCATTTAAAATAACTATTCTTGCTAATTCCATAAACATTAACCAAACAATATTATAGCACACACTCGAGACAACATCATCTCAACGATGTAATTTTGGCTCACTGTCTCATTCTTCTCCCTATAATCATGTAATGGACAAATTGAAGCTTAATTCGATCGTATTGGTATGTATACTTATATCGTGATTTGAAAAATGAATAAATTAAAGAAGAGTAATACATCCGTAGTAGTATATACTACTAAAATACTACGTAAATGAAACTTCAACAAACAAAGCCTGCAAAAGAATGAAATGATTCAACAAAAGTCCTCACTCATCCGTGTGACAATTGTTGATCTTTTAACTAAAGGCATGCTACCCAACACATTTCATGATCATATAGTTCAAATGGGAGTATAGGACTTGGTACCATGATGTCACATCCATTAAAGTTCATCTATTATTTTCAATGAAACATTCATTTAGTTTGGTGTTTTCTCAAACTATTTGTGCACATAAATACGTAGTAATTGTTTGAGAAATACTTTTTTATTTGGACCTACATTTAACATATTGTTTAATTTATTTACTCTGTATCAAGGTAAGAGCATGTATGTGTTAAGAGATTTGATATGCTATAAAACATGGATGGTAATACTTGATGGTATATAGAGGACTTGTCTGCATGATTCATATATTTTATCTCTTATAATGTTGAGAAAAGGGACAAATAAGCCCATATACTAACAAAAAAAGATCAAATAAGTCCTTACATAGGAGACTCTGTCCGGCCGTCGCCATTTAGGGCGATTCCCGGTGCAATTTTTTTATGAATTTTTTTGAGCAACTTATTCATTACGTCTAGTTTACTCATACCAAATTTCAACTAAAACTTCAATCGGAAAAGCATCCAAATGAATTCTTAAAGATAACTGCACAATTAAAAGCGCAGTTATCTTCCAGAATTCATTTGAATGCCTTCCCGATTGAATTTTTAGCTAAAATTTGGTATGAGTAAACTAGACTTAATAAATAAGATGCTAAAAAAAATTCATCAAAAAATTCCACCGGGAACTGCCCCAAATGGCAACGGCCGGACAGAGTCTCCTATATAAGGGCTTATTTGACCTTTTTTGGTTAGTACGTGGGCTTATTTGCCCCTTTTCCCTATAATGTTTTATATGATAATGTGTTAACTCGATCAAGTGGGAGAGTGTTAGTTTTTCCCTCTTAATTATTACTCGTATTTAATTAATTGTCATCTTATCCTTTAAGTTGAGTGAATTATTTAAATACGAAGTATATGTATAGTAGGGGAAAATGTTTCCACTCATTGTACTACCTCCGTCCCGAATTGATTTGCAAATTTGACTTTTCTTAGTCAAACAGTTTCATTTTGTTCACTTAATTAGCATGCCTATTTTTAATTGTATTCTAATTTGGGGTTTACAACTTTGAAGAGATTTTGATATAGTTTATGAATATGTAAATTTTAATTATTAAAAATTGAATTAACTATGCATGGGGAGGATTGACTTTTATTATTGGTTGACCAAAAAATGTTGACTTTGCAAACCAAATTGGGACGGAGGAAGTACATTTTTTGTTTAGATAAGATTATATTAATCCTTATTTCATAAGTAAGAAAACATTAAGTTAATTCTTACCCCTGCACCTTTTGTGTTGCACGTTTGGAAGATATGTGATGAACAGAACCCAGTAAATAGATGCATTATTAGCTCTTATATATTTTGCACCATCAAGTTTAAGAGAAGAGTAAGGGCTTGAAAGAGCTAAACAATTAAGGGTTGAACTTGAAACCTAAAAGTTGTTGATTAATTGAAATGGCTAGGTCAGAGGTATATAATCTGATCTCTTATTGATTCCGCTAACATCAAATCACCCTTACTAATAAAACAATGATCATTATATGCAGGGGCGTATCCAGGGTGGGGACAGGGGGGGCAGCTGCCCCCACTCAACCCCCACCCAACCCTATTATATATATATCCAATTTAAATTTATACATATATTTTTTGTTCTACATAATGTTTCTTATACAATTAAAACGAATATTTTTATCAAACTTGCTAGGGGTCGAGCGGAAAGAGTAGGAGCCATAAGATGTTCATTTGAGCTGAGGTTTGGAGTTCGATTCCTACCTGCGTATTTTCTTTTTTTTTTTTTTGTTTTATTTTTTTTGTCCTTGAAGCCTTAAGCAAATTCTAAGTGGCTATACATTGTTCTTTTTTTACTTTTTTCTTGTTGAAAAGCTCTAAACTACATCAATATAGTTACAATTCTAGTTTCACATACGAACTAATTTTATACATAATAAAACTAGTATTTTATTATACTTGTGAATTTTAAATAAAAATTAATTCTAACTAGATGTTCCTCCTTCCCTAGTTGATTCATTTATATATTGACATAATTTTGCACAAATTACATATTCAATGTGATACAATTATTTCTAACAAAGTGAAATTTAATTAAACATAATATCGTAATGTTTTTTATGAGAGAATATTTTGTTTTTTATAATTAGTTTTACATTTTTTTCTTAATTTGATTAGTCTGATTTATCTTGTAATTTTCTCTCTCTTAATCTAAGATAAATTCGCCCCCGCTGACATATTATTCTGGATACGCCACTGATTATATGACTATTATATAAATAATCTTTCCTGATGTTATAAAAATTAATTCTATTCAATAATAGAAAATACGGAGTATTACTTTTAATTATATGCATGTAATGATTATATTAATAATTTATTTGACACTTAATTTTATACTGCAACGACCATAACACCATACTCATACTAACTTCAATCATTTTTTAATAAATGAATTATTACTCTCAAAGAAAAATAATTTAGCAAAATTATTGAAAAAGACAAATAAAGTACTCCCTCCGTCCCTTAAATTTTTGCCATCTTTGAATTTTTTGGTCTACAATGTTCAACTTTGACTAACTATATATTTTTATAGGAAGTTATTTATAATATAAAAATGATATGAAAATGTTCTTTATTTTCATATACGTATAAAATTTTTAACTTCCAAAATATTATACTAATCAAAATCATGTTCCAAACTTTATCGCCATTGCCTTGAAAAGTTGACAAAATTTAAAGGGACAAAATAGTACGATTTAAATTTTAGTAAAAAGTCTGAATTAGTATAAACTTCATAATTTTAACCTAGATTTTTAGGACGTTAAAGGAAAATAGGACGGATAACTAACATGAGGCCCTAGAAGGCTAGAACTCGTGAGATGAATAAAAAAGTGAGACAAAACATATACGGAGAATAAAATGATGATACGTTGGGTCAAAAGATAGGAATTGCATGCCCGTCTTAATAATATTATTATGATAAAATTATAAAATTGATATAATTAAGTTGGTGTAGCTCAATCATTTGGGCCCATGCATGTTGCTTTGGTCTCTACCACTTTCTTATCGTAGAAAAATGGCCCATTTATCGCGTATTACGATTGGACAGTCAACCACTAGCTTAGCAAACGCATTTGGACAGCAAATTATCGTAAATTTGCAACAGTCAAGTCAAACATGATTTTTGTGAAGCATTCCTAATTGATTAGAGCTGTCTAGACCAAGTCAATTGAACGTTTTCTTTTCAACTGTTTTCAGTCCCAGACCAGACCAGACTTAAACAGACCAGACCTGACCAGACTTAAATAGACCAGACTTAAACAGACCAGACCAGACTTCCGTAGTTATAAAATACACAGAGACCAGACGTTTACCAGACCAGACCAGACAAGTTCAGACCAGACCAGACCAGACCAGACTTAAACAGACCAGACCAGACCAGACAAGTTCAGACCAGACCAGACCAGACCAGCAAATTTCAGTCCAAAAGAAAACATCCTAAGATTATGTTACATATGGAGTATTTCTAATTAAATTTATACTCCCTATATTCTTAAATTACATCAAAAAGATTATTGCATATTTCTAAATAGATTTCATTCTTACATTTTTTATCTACCTCAATGTAGAACTCTTTCTTTTACTTAGGGAGTGTTTGCAACAACTTAAAAAAAGTACTTCTCAACTTTTGACTTAAAAAAGCACTTATTTACCAAACACTACTAACTTTTACTTTTTCTCGGCTTGCGTGTGAAAAGTGTTTTTCCCTTTTCTATTACACAAAAAACACTTATTTTACCAAACACTATCAACTTTTACTTTTTAAAATCACTTTTTTTTTCTCAAACACTATCAACTTTTACAACTAATAACTTTTTCCTTACATCTCCAAAAATGTTTTTTTTTAAGTAGAAGCAGTTGCAAACGCTCCCTTAGACCATTTGGAGTGGTTGAGAGGCCAAATTGTTAAAAATGGACTTCGTCCATATGAGAATAGTGTTTAGACTCCCACTTTCCTGCATTCCAGCACCGTTAATAAAATACACTCAACATACGAAGTATATTTTAACCTATCAACTTAGAAAAACATTAATTAAATTATTATAAGTAATGTTTTCCTTATAACTTTTTCTCTGAATAATTATGAAATAAAAAAATACATATTTCGATGTAAAAATATATAAATTTAATTAATTTTTTTAACGTTTTTTGGTTAACAAAATATGAACTTAGTTCAAGTAAAGTTCGATTATGGAATATTCAATTATTTGTGAAGGCTCCATGAATTAAAAATTTGTGTTTCATGTTTTTCCGGGGCTCAAGAAAACTTCAACAGTTAAAACTTCAAAAAAATCATTTTATATATTACATATTGGTGTCATATGAAAGATCATAAAAATTTATGAATTTTGATATACTTTTTGAAAATTTTGGATAAAAATAGAAAAGTTATGTAGTGCAAGTTTAAAATTTTTTAGGATATTATGATGCATGGATGACATCAGCATGACATCATCC